AACAGAAGCATTGGAGTTAAATAACAATCATAAATCAAATAGACTCAACAGACATTTACAGAACATTCTACCTAAACACTAATGAATACTCATTCTTCCCAGCAGTCCATGGCACTTTCTCCAGAATTGTCCATATGTTAAGACACTGCAATACTGAATGAGATGCACAGAGGAATGCCACATAGTGATGGTCGAATTAGGAGTCCTTTATTAACAGCCAGCAGTCAGAGAGAGGGCTAGTGTCCCAAAGAACTCTCACCCCTGAGGAGAAGAAGGGCAGGGTTTATAAAGCTTAAAATTGCAATTTTATCATGCCAGGGAAAAAGCCAATAACCATTGATATATCAGATCACCAAAGTTACACCAGACAAGGGGCAGGTCAATTAACATGCTACCTGGCTACTTGTAAGTTTCCCAGTACTGTAGAAACTACCTGCATGAAATGTTCTGCCTGGCTGGCTACAGTGGGAATTGTTGGGCAAAAACACAAGGTAAAGCAAAAGTCAGTTAGAACAAAATGGAGTTAGTTTTGCCGTTTCAACACAAAGCAAGTCTCAACAAGTATAGGAAAATTAAAATAACATCTTCATTCTATCTAACCACTGTGGTTTAAGGCTGGATATCATCAGCAATAAAAACTGTATAAAGCACACAAAACTCTTGGAGTTTAAACAACATATTATTGACTGAAGATTAGGTCAAAGAAAAAAAATCAAGAAATAAAATATAAAATTCCTAGAACTGAAGCAAAATTAAAACAGAACATGCCAAAATTTATGGAATACAAGAGGAAAGTTTACAACACTGAGTGCCTATATCAAAAACTCCGAGAGACCTCAAATAACTTAATGACACACCTGAAAGCTTTGGAAAAATAAGAACAAACAGCATGCAAAAACAGTAGATGGGAAGAGATGATCAAGATCAGGGCTGAAATTAATGAAATAGAAATGAAAAAAAAACTTCTGGGACATGCTGAAAGCAGTCCTTAGAGGGAAGTTTAAAGCTCTAATGCCTACACCACAAAACTGGAAAGCACACAAGTAAATGACTTAACATTGCAACTCAAGACACTTGAAAAGCAAAAACAAACAAAACCCAAACCCAGCAGACAAGAAGAAATAACAAAAATCAGGGCAGAAATTAATGACATATAAACAAAGAAAACAATACAAAGAATCAACGAATCCAAGAGCTGGTTCTTTGAAAAGATAAACAAGCTTGAAAGACTGCTAACCGAGTTAACCAAAAGAAAGAAAGAGCACCTCCAAATCAGCAAAATTAGAGATGAAAGGGGAAACATCACAACAGACACCAGAAAGATACAGAGCATTATAAGGGAACACTTTAAAAACCTACATGCTATGAAATTTGAAAACCTAAAAGAAATGGACGGATATCTTAAGGCATGGGAACCACAAAAAATAAACCAAGAAGACATTAACAGCTTAAACAGACCCATAACACAAAAAGAAATTGAAACAGTAATACAAAACCTCCCGACTAAAAAAAGCCCAGGACCAGATGGATTTACAGCGGAATTCTATCAGACATTTAAAGAAGATCTCCATCCAATACTACTTAATTTATTCAAAAAGACAGAAATGGAGGGAGAACTCCCAAATTCCTTCTATGAAGCCACCATTACTCTAATACCAAAACCAGGTAAAGATACAACCAAAATGAAAACTATAGGTCCATATCCTTAATGAACACAGATGCAAAGATACTCAACAAAATACAAACTGCATACAGACACACATCAAAAATATCATCCACCACAATCAAATCTGCT